ATAAGTGGTATGTCAAGTGGTTGGTTCGGGACTGTCCCGTCGATTTTTGATTTTATTTTAGTTGACTTTAAGAAGTCGTTTAAAAAGTTCTCGCGAAAATTTTGTTGTGTGAATTTTAAAATATAAAAACAAGTAAAAGTGCTATATTCGGCTTTGCCGAATCTTATATACCCTTCACCATAGTGTATTTAATAAATATCAATTTCATAAAATTTAAATTTATTTCATTTTCCCGACTATATCATTATTATAGCAATAGCAAAACAAAATGAACAACAACAACGCTAAACGAAATAACCACACAAAAAAACAAAATACACAAGGCAGTAAAACCAACAGCATCCAAACAAACAAAACTGAATACACCAAGAAACAAAAACAACGCAATGAAACCAATAGACATCCAAACATACAAAACTGAATGCACCAAGAAACAAAAACAATATACACAAGGCAATGAAACACAAGGCAATGAAACACACAGGCATCCAAACATAAGAAACGAAACACTAAAAAAAAACAAGTAAGAGTGCTATATTCGGCTTTGCCGAATCTTATATACCCTTCACCATAGTGTATTTAATAAATTTCAATTTCATAAAATTTAAATGTATTTCATTTTTCCGACTATATCATTATTATAGCAATAGCAAAACAAAATGAACAACAACAATGCTAAACGAAATAACCACACAAAAACAAAATACACAAGGCTGTAAAACCAACAGCATCCAAACATAAGAAACGAAGTACATAAAAAAACAAAAACAAAATACACAATGCAATGAAACCAACAGACATCCAAACATACGAAACTGAATACACCAAGAAACAAAAAAAATATACACAAGGCAATGAAACACACAGCCATCCAAACATACAAAACGAAATATTAAAAAACAATCAAAAACAAAATACACAACGCAATGAAACCAACTGACATCCAAACATACGAAACTGAATGCACCAAGAAACAAAAACAATATACAGAAGGCAATGAAACACACAGCCATCCAAACATACAAAACGAAATACTCAATGAATAAGCAGTGTTGTTGTTGTTATATGTATATGAAAGCATGGAAAAATTTGTCTTTTTATGAAATTTTCAGAGGTTGTCTCGGATTTTTGCTCATATCTCCGGTATTTATGGACCGATTTTGCTGATTTTAAATAGCGATCTTCTCGAAAGCATGTCTAACAAAATTATTGAAGATTCGGATCTCGCCGATATCTGGGGTCCTCTAAAAACTGATTTCAACAAACACACAGACGGACAGACAGACAGACAGACGGACACAGCTTAATCAACTCCGCTACCTATAAGGATCCAGAATATATATACTTTATGGGGTCGGAAAATTATATTATAGAAATTACAAACGGAATGACAAACATATACATACATATATACCCTTCTCACGAATGTGAAGGGTATAAAAACAAAATACACAACGCAATGAAACCAACAGACATCCAAACATACGAAACTGAATACACCAAGAAACAAAAACAATATACTCAAGGCAATGAAACACACAGCCATCCAAACATATGAAACGAAATACTCATTAAATAAGCAGTGTTGTTGTTGTTTATATTAAAGCATGGAAAAATTTTTCTTTTTTATAAAATTTTCAGAGGTTGTATCGGATTTTTGCTCATATCTCCGGTATTTATGGACCGATTTTGCTGATCTTCTCGAAAGCATGTCTAACAAAATTATTGAAGATTCGGATCTCGCCAATGTCTGGGGTCCTCTAAAAACCGATTTCAACAAACACACAGACGGTCAGACAGACGGACATAGCTTAATCAACCTATACGGATCCAGAATATATATACTTTATGGGGTCGGAAAATTATATTATAGAAATTACAAACGGAATGACAAACTTATATATACCCTTCTCACGAAGGTGAAGGGTATATTTAATATTTCCTTGATATAACAAATTCTAATCTTTCAGAATCATTTATGTGTAACAATAAATTTCGAAAAAGTCGGATTTTACTGAAGATGCAAATGAGCAGCAATATTAAAAATATTTATTTCAATACTTATTTAAACTAGAAATAAAAGTAATTTAAAAAATTTTTTTCTTATTTTTCATAATTTTTAGAGTTAAACTTTGACGTACCGGTTATTTAACCCTACTGCAGTACCTGTCCATCTATCTACTTGGGGACACTTGACTACTCCTAGGACACGTCAATAGCTAGTAAAGTAACTAGTAAAAGAGCTAGTAATGTGACTGACTCCCAAGAACCCATTTGGAGATTACTATCCATTGACTACCTCTTGACAGTCTCGTTGTCGACTGTAGAGTGACGATTGACTTCCTCGTAGGACAAGCCCATGTTAAAATGGTTGGTCACTTGGGTAGTCGGGTGGCTAGGGGCCTCCATAAGTGGTAAGTCAAGTGGTTAGTTCGGGACTGTCCCGTCGAACTGCTGGGTTTTAGCACTTTTTTATACCCTCCACCACCATCAGTGGTGATAGAGGGTATATATAAGTTTGTCATTCCGTGTGTAACAAGAAATATTCATCTGAGACCGAACAAAGTATATATATTCCGGGTCCTTATCAAATTCTGAGTCGATTTTATGTCCGTCTGTCTGTCTGTGTAAAATACGCTCACGTAAAAACGATAAATTAATGAAATTCGGTCAAAAGATTCACTATTATCCTAGGCAGTTTGGTATTGAAAATGAGCAAAATCGGTTTGCATCGGAAAGAGTTATGTATCAAAATTTAAAAAAACTCCGAAAAAATTAAGCTTTTTTAACACATTCTAATAAAATTTTCACAAAAACCATGCGATATAATTTCATAAAAATCAGCGCACAATTTTTTCTATATGAAAGCTTATTCCTCTTAAAATTGGGCGAAATCGGTCTACAATTTCATATACCTACCATACAACTGTACATATTCCCGGAAAATGCATTAATTGTTAATAACTTCCACTAGAATGACAATATCTTTACAAACGTTTACAATTAAAAGTTCTATGTCAATTGAATTCATATAGAGGAAAATCGGTCCATAATTGACTGTAGGTCCCATACAAGGTCCCCTCCCGAAAATCACTTAAACGCACATTACACATTACACATTACCAAATAATGATATCCATACAAAATTTTGCACAAATATTGCCTTTATATACAGAAATGATACTGTAAAATTTTTTCACAATCGGTCCATATTTGGTCATATCTCCCATACAAGGCCCCATCCCGAAAATGACATAAACGCACATAACTCGTTACCAAATAATGGTATCCACACAAATTTTTGGCACAAATATTGCTTATATACACAGAAAAGGTATTGTAAATTTTTTTCACTATCGGTCTATATTTGTTCATATCTCCCATACAAGGTCCCCTCCCGAAAATCACCAAATAATGGTATCCATTCAAATTTTTGGCACAAATATTGCTTATATACACAGAAAAGATATTGTAAATTTTTTTCACTATCGGTCCATATTTGTTCATATCTCCCATACAAGGTCCCCTCCCGAAAATCGCGCACATAACTCATTATTAAATAATGTTATCCATACAAATATTGCTTTTATATATAGAAATGATACTGTACGCAAATAACTCATTACCAAATAATGGTATCCATACATATTTTGGCACAAATATTTCTTTTATTTGCCATAAATATTACTTTTGTATACAGAAAAGTAATTTTAAGATTGTTTCACGATCGGTCCATATTTGGTCATAGCTCCGTAGAAGATCTCTTTCAGAAAATCACTTAAACACACATAACTCATTACCAAATAATGATATCCTTACAAAATTTGGCACAAATATTAATTTAGTTTACAAAAATTTTACTTTAAAAAAATTTCACGATCGGCCCATATTTGGTCATAACTCCCATATAAGGTCCCTTCCCAGATATCACTTAAATTCAAATTACTCATTACCAAACAATAATATCCATGCAAAATTTGAAACATACAAAATGTTATTTTAAATTTTTTTCGCGATCGGTCCATAATATGGGTCCGATCGGTCCCATACAAAGCCTCTTCCTAAAATTACTCTAATGCACATCACTTATTAGTAATAAGTTATTACCAAATTGTTACATGCATATATAGATACAAATATTTTTTTTAAAAACACTTTAACCGTATATAATTAATTGTAAGTTTTTTAGTAAAATCAAATTCTGAACAGCAGTACACATATCTAAATTTCCTTAAATAAATATCACACATGCATACCTGGAAGTTGTTAAATATCTTTAAAGAATATTTTAAGGCGCTATAAAATATTCTAGGAAATCCTGTTTATAATGCTGTACAAAAACTTGCAATTGTAACAGATTTAAAATATTTAAATCTTGGCTTGATCTACTATAAAAGATAAGAAACCCTATTTCCAAAATAGGCTAGGCTATTGAATAAAATAAAAAAAGCCATACATTTTTTTTATTTTTTAATTTTCTCTCTTTCCTTTCCCATTTTCTTATATTTCTTTTTCCTTTTTCGTCTTTAATTTTCTTTTTTCTTACTTTTACAGAAAGTTTTTTACATTTTATTTTTTCCCATTTTTCTTATTATTTTCTCTTTTTCCTTTCCCATATTCTTATATATCTTTTTGGTTTTAATTTCTTTTTTCCTCCCCACCCGTGGATCTGCTCATGATAGTGGTTTAATGTAAACAGTACCTCGTTTCTGTAGTTTTCTCGAATCGAGAAAAAACTTAAAATATAATAGTCTTCAGGTTTTTAACTCCGATGACTTTTAAACTGTACTCATTAAAATTTACAAAGAAATTTTTGAAATTTCTTGTATTCACCCTGTTTTACACAAGATGATCATGAATTTTTCGACAGATTTTCTCGATGCGAGAATTACAGAAACGGGGCACAGGTTTTTATAATATGAAACCAATTTTTCGAAGGTCGATATTAAGCCGTCGGTGTAATTTAGTTTCAACTAACGCCGTAATTGAATTTGGTCGGCGAAGGAGTCCATACCAGCAGAAAGCGAATAAGAAGCATCAATTATGTAGTTACAACTAAAATTGCGTGTATATACATATGTAGCGTCTTATGGGCTGTGAAAAAATATTACCCAAATTGTGTAAAAAACAAATAATTTACAAGTTAATGCTAAACGAATAGTTGATATAAGGAATATTATAAAAATTTTACTACAAATCATAACTGTGTTTTAAAAAAGGCTAATCTGTCAAAACATCACAAAAGAAAAGTAAATGTAAAAAACAATTTTTTTAGTGTAAAGTGAATTTTATGTGTCCATATCCATAATTACGTATATGTGAATATATCGAGTATATGAATACATGCATGGGTGCATACACTGATGTATACATGTATGTACCTAAATACAGTTAGTACTAAATATATAAATTTTGTTGCAAATAATTCTGCCACCCAAACCGCGCCACTATTTCCACAAAAATAGAACGAGACAATGAAATAGCGTTACAAATCTGCTCATACAAAACAATCCTAAACCCAGAGATGCCAGATGACATGATGGCAGTGCTGTTATTTTTATGTTTGAGTAATCGAATAATCGATTGGTATATATATATATATATATATATATATATATATATATATATATATATATATATATATATATATATATATATATATATATATATATCGGTTAATGGAGTAAACTACATATATATATATATATATATATATATATATATATATATATATATATATATATATATATATATATATATATATATATATATATATATATATATATTTATATATATATAGTTTACCCTGTAACCGATATGCCTTGGCTTATCTCAAGATACTAGCAATTGAGAGCCAACGCACGATTTTATATATGGAGTTTCGGAGTTTGGCTCTTCACAATACCACCAAAATGTCAAATAATACCCTATATAATACAGCAAGAAAAAAATAAAATAACAATCACTGGCCCTCTTAAGATTATCTTATAAATCGTATACCTTGTCTTATCCATAAAAATTATACAAATTCGTCCCACATTTCTCCCACATTGAATTTTTATAAATTCATCCTTAAAAAAAGGAAAACAAATTCGCTCTGCTTTTCTGTTTTCGCCAATGAAACTACCTTACAATTAATATATCTTGATACCGACGCTGTCAAACTCCATATAGGTGAAGTCATTTCGATTGCTGAGTTTTTTTCATTGAAATTTAGCCCGGTGCTGTCAAACTCCATATAAAAAATTCTCTCTCAAAACTGACGCTATCAAACTGCATATATAAAAAATTTTATGAATTCGCCGCAAAATGAAATGACTACCATTGCGAAACTAATAAGGTGAAGTAATTTTAATAGCTGATTGTTTTTTTGTTCATGGAAATTTAGCCCGAAGCTGTCAAACTCCATATAAAAAAAATTATCTCTCCTTAACCCGACGCGTCAAACTACATAAAAAAATTTCATGAAAAAATTAGATGACCACCTTATAGTCTATTCGCCTTGGACTTTACCTTATAATCTATTCGCCTTGTTATAATCCAAGGCGTATAGATTTTAAGCTGAATTTTTTTATATATGGAGTTTGACAGCGTCGTTTTTGAGAGATAATTTTTATACTGGAAGTTTGACATCTTTGGGCTAAATTTCCTGGAACAAAGAAAATTAATTCTTCTTGGTCGGTTGTGAGAGAGAAAAACCTTTTTGGCGAACAAAAATACAATCAGCTGTTCAGGGTAAACTGGCTGCAAGGTACTATCTATGGCGAAACTAATAAGGTGAAGTTATTTCAATAGTTAATTGTTTTTTGTCCATAGGAATTTAGCCCGAAGCTGTCAAACTCCATATAAAAAATTTTCAAATTCAAACCCGACGCTGTCAAACTACATACATACAAAAAAATTTCATGAATTCGCCGCAAAATGAAATGACTTCAAGAAGGCGTATAGACTACAAGGTGAAATCATTTAATTTATATGGAGTTTGACAGCTTCGGGCTAAATTTCCATGGACAAAAACAATCAGCTGTTGAAATGACTTCACGTTATAGTCTATTCGCCTTGGTAATATCGTTGGCAAAGCTGATCATTGTTTATATGATTTTACCACTCGCATTTCGGGTCCGAGTTGGAAAACAACTCTGACGTCATCGCCATTATTTTTTAAGTAAGGTTAGGCCTGTGTTCGTTTTCTGGCTTTTGACGGAGTTGCATCTTACTCGCATTATAAATTTAAAATATCTTCAATATTTTTTATTTTCAAATAGTTTCAAGCAGTTCCGTCACCTTATATACAATTCGCCATGTCCTTGACTGCAATTTTGAAATAGTAGATGACACTTGGACGACTAACACCCAAGTCGTTGTGTTTACGCAGCAAAATGTAAGATTTATTTAATTTGAGTATTTTAAAAGACATTTTGGAAATTTAAATAATTGTAAATTAATCCTTTAATTTATTGAGATTTTGCCAATATCATTTTAATTTTTATTTTAAGTTTAAATTAAAAATGAGCTACAATAGAAAATAATGTTATAGGAAGACACAAATTTTAATGATGCTTATGTGATTATGTTGTAAAATAAGAATACAAACAAATGTATCAGTTTTTATAAGATGAGTCGTTTCTATACATATGTATGCATGTGTTTGACCAAATTTTAAACTTATTTGTAATGCATCTTTCTTGATTCCATTTACTTGACAATAGGATTATCTTAGATTTTCTGCACAGTACTCTGCGCACCTTTAAACAAATTTGAACTCTTATTTTGGAAATAAAAATCAGAAATTAATTTTAAAAATGTTATGTATGTATGCCTATATGGAAGCATGTCCATATATTTATATATACATAAAAATATTGTGATCTTCATAAAAAGCAAACCTATTGTGTTTTAGTTTTAAATTTTAATAATTTACTTTTAACAATATCCCTTACGGTAAAAGAATATATAAATGTTGGAATTTAGTCGAATAAATCTCTTATGGTAAAAGAAAACAAATGTTGGAATTAAGTCGAATAAATCAGATTAGACCAAAACCCCAAGTACTGTTGTGTACCGGTCAACAGACGAAATGACCAACCCAGCCAGTCAATCTGCAAAGACAGGCAGCTAGCTAGCTACTCAGTCATCTCGCAGTGACTTTGCTCAATGTACATATATTCTTTTTCAGGGAATACAAAACTACAGAGAATGTGTTTCCTTCACTCTGATTGTGTGGTTGGTTCTATATGGTTTGATGATTTACACTCTGTATCTCGTCGTAGCAATCTTTAAAATTGTTTTCTTCTTTCGTTTATTTCGTGCAGTTAGTTGAACACAATGTGAATGAGTGAGTATATGTATATTCATATGTATTTTTGTATCTATGAATGTACATACATATAAACACATTTTGTATATATGACTCTAATGTTTGCATTCGTCGTGTTCTCATGCTAGTGTTGCTTTTTCCTAATTTAATTACGTCGCATCTAGACGCAGTTTTACGACAACGGTACGGTGCGGATGACAGAGACCCAAACAAGCTGACGTTAAACGCGAAATAATAAGGAAAAATAAAAAAAAATAAAAAAATAAATACAAAGATAAAATGATAATAATCATAAAAAACATCATAAATCTAATCCAGAGTTTTGTTTTGATTATTTTCATCGTGCGCGCGCGTTTCCTACCAAAATATACAGTCATATTTGAAAATATTTACTTAATTTACAATTAAATTCATGTAATGAAATAAAAATAATATTTTAAATACAACTACTTTAAATTTAAAAAGAATAAGAATTTACTGCGTTAACTAAATGAGAATAACTTTAAATTTTAATTTTATTATCAATAAAAGTGCATTTTCTATTTGATTACGGCAAAAAAGTGAAGAGCTTAATTAAAAACCTAAATCACAACAACTACCACGATTACTATACATACTTACATATGTATCTACATACATATGAATGTTCGAAACTATTAGATACTATATGTACATAAATTTTTCACTGATTTTGCATTGTCCTACATTAGAACTTGACATTTTATTTTGTTTATGTTTTATGTGGACTGAGGAATTCTCACAACTGCCGAAAACTTCCTCCGTATTGACAACAGATTAAATAAATTATATGATTTTTTCAGTGTAGCTAATGTCGTACTACTTAATAAAAGCTACAAAATTGGTATTATTATTATTGCCTAAATGTGACTTAGTAATACCCATACATTCTTTGGCTGAAATTTCTTCGTAAACTTTTTACGTCCTTTTAATTTTCAAGGATTGTGGTTTGATTTGTTTACAAGCGAAAAAATTTAATTTGTAATAGTTTAAATAAAAATAAATTAATATTTTATTGATTGTAACATACGGTTTATTTAAATTTTGAAAATATTGTAAAATCTGAAAGTACGTTTCGATCGATCTATCTATCTATCTATCTATCTATCTATCTATCTATCTATCTATATCTATCTATCTATCTATCTATCTATCTATCTATCTATTATCTATCTATCTATCTATCTATCTATCTATCTATCTATCTATCTATCTATCTATTATCTATCTATCTATCTATCTATCTATCTATCTATCTATCTACTATCTATCTATCTATCTATCTATCTATCTATCTATCTATCTATCTATCTATCTATCTATCTATCTATCTATCTATCTATCTATCTATCTATCTATCTATCTATCTATCTATCTATCTATCTATCTATCTATCTATCTATCTATCTATCTATCTATCTATCTATCTATCTATCTATCTATCTATCTATCTATCTATCTATCTATCTATCTATCTATCTATCTATCTATCTATCTATCTATCTATCTATCTATCTATCTATCTATCTATCTATCTATCTATCTATCTATCTATCTATCTATCTATCTATCTATCTATCTATCTATCTATCTATCTCTATCTATCTATCTATCTATCTATCTATCTATCTATCTATCTATCTATCTATCTATCTATCTATCTATCTATCTATCTATCTATCTATCTATCTATCTATCTATCTATCTATCTATCTATCTATCTATCTATCTATCTATCTATCTATCTATCTATCTATCTATCTATCTATCTATCTATCTATCTATCTATCTATCTATCTATCTATCTATCTATCTATCTATCTATCTAATCTATCTATCTATCTATCTATCTATCTATCTATCTATCTATCTATTATCTATCTATCTATATATCTATCTATCTATCTATCTATCTATCTATCTAGCTATCTATCTATCTATCTATCTATCTATCTATCTATCTATCTATCTATCTATCTATCTATCTATCTATCTATCTATCTATCTATCTATCTATCTATCTATCTATCTATCTATC